TGTGGTGGGACGCTTATCCCTCCATCATAAGGCACATTACGAAAGAAAAAAGATTGTCTTCTCGTGTTTAAAATGACCTCTTTGGGGAGAAAGGGGGCGTGGGGAAACGGGCCAAGAGGCAAAACGCTCTTCGCAGGCAGAAAAGGCGAATGGAGGAAATACCTCTCTATCCCCACGAACTACTTCGGTTCTCACCATTAAAGTCCCTCACTAATTCCTCCGGTTTTACAAGCACCCCCCCGTTCCCGTCCCCACACTCAGATACAGACATGGTGTCAGAATATCCGGCTCCGAAGTTATAAAGCCCTCAGAGGGAAGGGAGGCACACGCTCTCCTCAGCGCTCTCGGCCCGGCCCGGTCCCGGCGTCCGCAGGTTTCCTCGTCCTCTGTGCTCCCTCAGTCACATTCTGCTCTTTATTCCGGAGGGCTCCGTCTGGGCTCGGAGGTGCCTCTCTGTATTCGGTCGGGCACCGGGGAGAGCGACGGCTCAGCAGTTTCAGAAGAAAGTGTGGGGTTGATTATTGACTAAAAAGACTTTTCTTCCGATGCCACATTCACGGGGTTGTTTGAAGCAAAATGCATACGCGGGATTTTTGCTTTCTCCTCTCCTCCTACGCTGCCCGCTTCCCCTTTCATGTGGTGCCTTCTCACTTGTGCCATAAGGAGCAAGTGTTTTCTGTTTTAGTGCTCTGTTTACAGCTTTGGTGCATGAAGTCATAAATCTTGCATAGCCATAAATGACAAAAACCATTGGTATGCGTAAGAGGCCACCCCAGCCTTATAGTGCTTTTTATTTCTCGCTTCCCCCTCGCTTTGTTTGTGCTTTAGGATGACGCCGGGCTCCCTCGTGCTTTGAACGGGCTGGTTATATTTTTAATGCCTTAATTAACGAAGTAACGTCAAATTTACACCTCGGCTCTACTCGGAGCCCCTCTCGGTCTCGCAGCCCACAGCCCGAGGGGCCGGGGCTGCAAGTTACTTGCAGTCCTCGTGTGAGCGCCCGCTTTGCACTGGCTCTGCTGTGTTGCTCTTACACAAAAAAAGGGGGGGACCCCCCAGCCCCCACCCAAAGCCGGGAAAAAAAGAAACGAGAGCTTTCCCGGAGGAGCAGGAGGTGGGGAGGGGCTGCGCGGCGCGGGGGCCACGTCCACGCGGGACTGCAGCCCCACGCGGCCCCACGGTGCGTCTGTGCGGCACACGGGGGAGGAGGTGGTGAGGGAAGCGCCTCTGCGCCCGTCCCGAGCGCTGGGGATATTTGGGGGGTGGGGGGGGTCTGTGTGTACATCTGTGTGTGTGTGCGCTCACGCATGCATGAGTTAATAATTAGTAACTCTAATGATTTCCAGCGTGGCTCTGCGAGCATTGCCCAGAGCGGGGATCCTGGTGGGCTTTGGTTGGCTCTCCGGTCCCGGACCCGGCGCTCCGGGCCGCTCCCCCCATCCCCGGCGGTCAGCCAGGCTGTGCGGGACTCCGGGCAGCGGGGAGCGGCGGAGGGGCCATTGCACGGCCGCCCCCAAACCCGCTCGTGAGAGGGACAAAACAAACAGCCCCGCCGCAGAACCCCGGAGGCCGGTGAGAGCGACCCTTTGTGAGAGCCGTTTGTCTTCATTAGCATAATTTTCCTGGACTTTGGTGACGCCCGGGTGCTGGGTGGGGGGGGCCGCACTCCTTCGCTGCCACACTCCTTCCCTCCTTCTCCCAGGCTTCCCCAGGCCGCCGCCTTTCTTTCTTCCAGCCTTATAATTCTATTTTTTCCTTCCCATCCCATTCCCGCTCCCCCCATTTCTTCTTTCCTTCCCCTCTTTCCCATTCCCTCCAGGCGCGTGGATCGGCCCTGGGAAGCGTCCCCATCCTCCGCGTTCTGCGCAGGGGGACAGGGACAGGGTGGGCAGCGAGAAGCGGGAGGGAGGAGGGGAGGCGGGGGTCGGAGCAGCCGTCCCCATCCCGCCTGGGGCAGGGCTCGCCCCTCCCGGCCGACGCAGAGGAGCAGAGCCGGTGCCCATCCCTCAGCCGCGGGGACACGGCCGGGGCAGATCAATCTCTGCTCCCCGGGCTGTGTCGCCGAGGCTCCTAAAAAAAAAAAAAAAAGCATGCTGGCTTCCGCCTCAGTCGTCAGAAGTTAAGGTAAGCAGGCCACAAATACGCTGCTATCAGTCGTGAATGGCGGAGTTTATGTCCCAGTGATTTATGACCGTAGACTTAAATGTCGGTTCAAGAAGAGTTCACAAGCTGGGGCTTCCTTCCAGGCAGTGACTGATACCCTTACACTTCGTGTTCAGGCAGCTCTCTCTACTCTCCCCCCACCCCCTCACCTCTTCTCAACTTTGTCTTTATCTTTCAGGAAATCTTTCTGGGGGGCTGCTGTTTTTTGCGTCCCGGAGTCAGAGTTTGGGGCTCGGCCGGGAGCTACAGGGGAAAGATGCGGTGTATTTAGAGACGGGGAAGGGGGAGGCAGGGGAGAGCTGAGCAGTGGAGCGGGGAGGCGAGGGGGACATGCCTGGGGGAGGCAGCTTTCATCTGCTGTCTCCGGGCTGTCTGGCGGGGGGAGAGGCCGGTAAAGGCTGAGAGGTGTACCGCGCAAATGGGGCTGGATGGACCGGCCGAAAAGGGCGCTGGCAAATTTGAGGGCCGAGCTCCTTTGGCCTTTTGTCTTCTGCGAGGACGAGGAGCGCTTTTCCCATCTCAGGCACCAGTTTGGGTGGCAAACCTTCCGCCTTCCACCCTCCCTCCCCCTCTAGCTCCCGTTAGGGCGCTGCTATTATTCGCTCCCTGTCGCTATAAATCCCGCTAGTGCTGTTTTCGCGAGTAATGGCCGTGCGCCGCTCAGGTTACCCTAACTTTTAGGAAGTGATTAACTCCCGCAGCCAAAGGCGGGGGCCGATTTTCCTTTCCTGGCGGGCGGCCGAATTTTCATTAATATTTTGCCTTCGAGGCGCAGCCGCCCATTGTTGGCGAGGCGGGCGCGCAGCTTTGCGCGGAACATCGCGGGGCCGCCGCTCTGCCCGCCGGCGGCACCCGACAAATCTGGGAGCGCCCGGGGAAGGCGAAATGCTTGGTGTGGACGTCATGAAAGGCCGGTTGTTTCCTTCCTGTTACTGCGGTTCCCTCTTTCTGAAGGAAAAGAATTGAGAAAAATCACACCAGGCCCAGATATCGTTAGAGGCGAGGAGCTGGAGATGGTGTCCGCGCCTCAGAACTTGATTGTCTTATTAGCTTAATAACAGCCGGAGAGGTTGATTAGTGCAATAATGGGGCTGCCGCCCTGCTGTAGGTGCGTTACCTTCATTTGGTTGGGATGTAACAAAGGAAAGGCTGTTTTCTAAGAACTTGTATAACTTGAAAGGCGCAGAATGAGATCGTTTGGTGCTTGTGCTGCCTAAGACATTTCGCCCCTGAGCATTTGTCGTCGTTAGATGTTTTGGGGGAAAATAGCCAGCTGCTTAAGCGCGGGGGAAGTGGCAAAGAGATCAGAGCTGTTCTGACCCGAAAGAACGGAGCTGTTGGTCAGGAAAGGAGAGTGGACGGCGAGCAGCAAGCTGCGATTTCTGAGAACAATGTATGCGCGTGTGGGACGAGCTGCTAGATGGGAGACGGCGTACAGGTCTCTCATTAGTGCGGGCCATCCTTGGGCTGGTTATTTTCAGGTAGGTAAGCTGCAGAATTTGATTTGAAAAAACAAAACAAAACAAACAAACAAAAAAAACCCAGAGAACAGAAGGACGGAGAGAGCAAAAAGAGAGGGGAGAGAAAGGGATTCGCCCGGGCAGGAGCAGCATTCTCTGGGTCGGTGTCCACCCTCTCCCCGGCCAAGTGACCCTCATACATCAAATTACATAGCAGCTTCCAAGACAGAACCTATTATCGCTAAGTTGGAAGGAAAGTTCAAGCCGTGGTCATGGAGATGAACGCTGGTTTTTCAGGTTCCTGGTGTTTTGTTGGTTGTTTTTTTTTTCTTTCTTTTTTTTCCTTCTTTTTCTTTTTTTCTTTCTTTCTTTTTTTTCTTTTTTCTTTTTCTTTTTTTCCCCTCCAATCCATCACGTTTTAACAGGTAGAGTCTGGCTGATTCCACAAAAAGTTAATGTCTTTGAAATAACTGCAAAAAAAAACAACAGCAGAAGCCCCCAGCTTGCCCCTGCTGGCCTTGCTGAAGGGGCTCCGAGCTGGGCTGGGTCCAGTGGGGGCTCCAGAGCCACTCGCGGGGGAAGGAAAGGTGTGGAATGATCGTGGGGTTGTGGCAATGTGGTATTGTGGGGGTGGCAGAGTGGACCTGCTATCACTCCAGGGCCAAACAGGAGCCACTCTGGGGCTCACCCATGCAGGAACAGCTGGTGCCAGGGTGCTTGACCTGGGAGGCTGGAGGCAGCTCGTGAGCACGAGGGGAGAAGGCACCGGCTTTGTTTATTTTCCTATCGAGCATTTCATAGACGAGCCAAAATCCGTCACTTGGGATCTGTGTGTGTAAATATCGCTGGCTGCAAAACCTTTCCACCCTGCTCCTGCCCCCTGCCATACGTAGACAGGAACAATCTCATGTATTTCTTTGAAGCCGGATGGAGAGCTGTAACCCAGAGAGAAAGGCTAAAAATAAAAAGATGCCAGTTATAGGGGAGGGTTTGGTTGTGGAGCTGGAAGAGAGCGATAGCCCAGCCCCTTTGCATTAGTGATTCCTCGATCAGCCTTATCACAGAGACTGGTATTAAAACAGCCTCGCGGTGATAAACGGCTGACCCCTTTGCTGTGTGGTGCCCTGCTCTGTTTCTTAAGAAGAAAGGAAGGAAAAACCCTAGAAAGACCCTATCCCAGTGCAGCAAAGCGCATATTTGTAGCTGCCAGTAAATCCAGGCAGCTTTTACATCGAAATACTATGCGCCTGAGGCCAAGTCATGCTGCTAAATATTGCTGACCACTTTTTCTTTTATGGCTTTCATGTCACTTAGCTATTGAAAGTAAGATGGATTTGCACCATTTCTTCACCCTGCTCTGCTCTCCCCACACCCCAGGTCTGCCCGGAGTGGCCATTGGAGGAGCAGCGCCACGTGACAGAGGGGTGCCAATGTTATTCTCCAAGGGTGTCAAGACCCTGTCAGTTTGCGAAATAAATATTGGGAAACAACGAAATGCAAAAAGCGACCTACTACGACAGCTCTGCAATCTATGGTGCCTACCCCTACCAAGGAGCAAATGGTTTCACTTATAATGCGAGTCAGCAGCAATATCCTCCGTCTTCGTCACTTGTGGAAACTGAGTACCACCGCCCCGCGTGCTCCCTCCAGTCCCCAGGCAGCACCGTGTCCCACCACAAGGCCAATGACATCAGTGAGAGTTGCATGAGGACCCTCCCCAGCCAGCCTCTGCAGCCCCCTGGTCTCACTGACCCGCAGGCCCCACCGCAGCCACCTCCGGCCCCGCAGGCACAGCCTCCACCTCCATCCTCGGCCTCACCATCTCAAAATGCCAGCAGCAACCCTGCCCCTGCCAACCCCACTAAGAGCCCGGCTCTTAACTCACCCACTGTGTCCAAACAGATATTCCCATGGATGAAAGAGTCTCGGCAAAACACAAAGCAGAAAAACAGCAGTTCCAGTTCAGGTATGGAAAACGCTCTCTCACGTGTCCTGCGGGGAGGGAGCAACCCTGGGCGCCTTCACTTTTGGGAGGGAAGGGAAGGTTGGGGGCTTGTTCTCTTCCCTGAGCTGCCCCCCATGGGCTTGTTGGCTTGTGATGGGATCTCGGTGACCAAACAAACCCCTGGGATCTTTCCCAGCCTTGCAGAATGGATCCAGTGTGATTTGGTTTCCTTTCGGCTGTGTCCTCCTGCATCTATCACATTTCGTAGGTAATCCCCCGTCCAGTAAATCACGCCAGTGCCGAGCAGCCCAGGCCCTGAGCCAGGGGCCTGTCCCAAGTACTTTGTTGGCACTGTGCTGCTAGATTAATAAGACAGTGACCTATCTCTGCCGAAGTGTAACGCGAATAAAATAGCTCATAATCATGTGCAGTTGGGATCAATGCCCTGTGTGCAGTCAGAACCTCTTCCTACTTTTACAGGCTGACTGGCAAAGTTACAAGACTGGTAAACAAAAGTCTTCTGGAGCGCCATAAACTTAAGCCTGTAAAATATTATTTGGAGGATGGCAGTGTACATTAACACTTTTATTACTCGAGGAAACTCAAATCAGTAACATCAGGACCAGCTCCAATGCCCAGGAGCTGTGTTTATATTTACCTCTTCCTCTTTTTCTCATAAATGTGCTTTGGAAATAGGGTTCAAATCTTTAGCAAAGGTCTCTGCCAGTGTACTTTTAAAGCACTGATAATATTGCTATTTACAGACTTCCACAGTGTGTATTTATTTTATTAAAAAGCAATAACAGTTAAATATGCCTGTATGCCTGTATGCAAGCACAGCCGCCATATGCTCTTCTGATGTGCATTATATTTCCCAATCACTACCATATGCTAATGTTGGATGTGGGAGAAACACTATACTGCCAATTCTGTGTGTTACAACATTATATGTGGATATCTGACCTTCAGACATCCACAGCTTATGTATATACAGCAGGGTTATCAGAAGAAGGGGCTGTAAATCTCTGTGGTTGTGGAGAGCAGGTAGTTCTCAAAGGATCTAAGCCTGGTACGTATGTGGAACAATAGGTTCACCTTTTGAATTTCTAAAACCTGCTTTATTTCCCGGAACCTTTCCTATTCCTTTATGCAAAGCTCAAGATATGTTGCGCCCTGTCATTCTTTATTGGAGCAAGTATAGCCAAACAATGGTACCAGTGAAATAAAGGAAGCCTTGGGGCTTGGAGCATGGCGAGGCTGAGCTCCTGTTGGGGTTACTTGTTGCACATGTGGGCATCTCATGTCCAATAGCTGGGCAGTTGCTGACATTGTTGGGCGCAGTCTCTGGTTGCCATGTCTAGGTTTACCATCTGATTGTGTTCTTTGTGTAATTTACATAGGTGAGAGCTGTGCTGGTGATAAGAGCCCCCCGGGCCAAGCATCCTCTAAACGAGCTCGTACGGCTTACACAAGTGCCCAGCTAGTAGAACTGGAAAAGGAGTTCCACTTCAATAGATACCTTTGCAGGCCACGGAGGGTTGAGATGGCCAATTTGCTCAATCTCACAGAAAGACAGATCAAAATCTGGTTTCAGAACCGCAGAATGAAATACAAAAAGGATCAAAAGGGCAAGGGCATGATGACCTCTTCAGGAGGACAGTCCCCGAGTAGAAGCCCCGTCCCTCCAGCTGCTGGGGGATACCTAAACTCTATGCATTCTTTAGTAAACAGTGTCCCCTACGAGCCCCAGTCACCTCCTCCATTTAATAAGCCTCATCAGAACACCTATGGCATCCCCGCATCTTATACCGCTCCTCTTAATAATTGCCCACCTCCTCAAAAGAGATACACGGGGACAGCAGCTGTGACACCTGAATACGATACTCATCCTCTTCAAGGCAACGGTTATGGGAATCCACATATACAGGGAAGCCCCGTCTACGTAGGGGGCAACTACGTGGAGACCATGACCAATTCTGGGCCTTCCATCTTTGGTCTAACTCATCTCTCTCATCCTCCCTCTGCCAACATGGACTACAGCGGGGCTGGGCCGATGGGCAACAATCACCACCATGGACCTTGCGACCCGCACCCGACATACACAGACCTTACAGCTCACCATCCTTCTCAGGGAAGAATTCAGGAAGCGCCCAAACTCACCCATCTGTAGGAGCCAGGAGTCACTAGGTGGAACGCAAAGCCCCAACCTTTTAAAGTACTTGTCCCTTCCTCTCTGCCTCTCCTCCCCGCCACGCGCCCTCCTCCCCTCTCTTTCTTCTTTCTTTGGCTCATTTTAGTTTGTTTCATTTCCTTTGGTAAAAGCGTTTTCTAGTTTATGTGACGTAGCAATATTTGTTGCTTGAATTGCTCTATAGTTTCACTAGTGGATATTTATCTTCTTGAACTGCAGCCTCGTGTCTCACTTTGGGAGCATACAGAGGCTTTATACTTTACCTTCTACACTTTTATCAAAACAGGGTATATGAACAAATTTTCTATAAAAGGAATTCTTAAATGTGAATTTGTTCGTACATGATTGATCCCACGGGGAAGCAATTTTTTTATTGCACTTCTTTTAAATAGCGAGAAAGACATCAGAAGCGCTTGGACAGGGATTCCCTGGACAGTTATTGATACGTGTAAGTCTTTCAATGTGTGTATGCTGGTGAACATTCAGATTTATTTATATTATTTTTTTTTTTTTGCAAACATTGAATAATCTAAGTGTTTAAAATTTTATTTATCCCCATTTGTTCATATTTATATATATATAAAGAATCTGTACCCTGAATATTCAGGAGGTATTTACCTGGCCATGTGTTAGATGGCATATCGGCACGCGTAGGAAATATCATTTGAAAGGGAACTATAACTCCTTTATTAAAATGATAACTGTGATGACAACAATGCAATAAAACCTGGGAAGAAAAAAAAAAAAAGAAAGAAAGATCACAGCTTGAATAATTGATGCCTGTAACATCCAGGTAGGGGGAAAGAAGGCGTGTGAAGCTGAAAAGGCTTAGATTTGTGTTGAAAGTTATACATTCCTTGCTGCTCACGTTCTGAAAAAAAAAAAAAAAAAATAAAGTTTTTATTCTGAATAATGAAGAGTTAAGGCCACGTTATTTGCAGTGCGAGGAAGGGAGAGCCCTTTGTGACCGGGGGGTCGGTGGACTCGTCTGGAGCCCACACGGGGCTCAGCTCTCCCACCGCACGGCTCCGTAGAGCCTTTTTAGAGATATAGAGAGGGATTTATTAGGATTGTTTTTCCCATTGGTTTCCCTGCCGCCTCTCCCACGCCCGGTGCGGAGGGCGGGGGCGCGGACCGCGGGTGTGCACGCGGTGGGGGGGGAGGGAGTGCGCCGTGTGCGTGCACGAGCTTGTGCGCGGGGGCGAGCGCGGGGGCTGAGGCCCAGCGAGGTGCGGTGCGGACGGGATGCACGGTGCCTAGGCTCCCCGAATGGGGACCGAGGAGAGGCGGGCGGAGGCCGCAGACCCCAACCGCAGTTGTGGGGTGGATGCCGGGCACAGCTGCCTCTGGGCACCTCTCCACCCCCACTGCCTTTTTTCCCGTTTTCTTTAGAGGAGTGGGTTCTCTCTCGTCTTCCTTTTATTTTTATTATTACTGTTATAATTCTGGATTTAAATCTGGGGCCGTTTCCTGTTGGCCGAGCCTCCTCCCCCCCCTCTGCAGCCTAAGGCGGTGGGGGAGGGGATTTCCCGTGCTGCCTTTACCCCCCAAGCCCTCCCCCCCCTCTCCTCCCCCCCGCGTGTCCGTGTGCGTGCGTGTGCTCGTATGGCGGGGCTGTGACACGCGGGGGTGAGCGGGCACCCGCGGGTGTCTCTGGGCAAAGTCGGTCCGAGTGAAGGCAGGAACCCCAACCGCCGTGTTTAAATGCCATGTTTCTTCCTTCCAGGCCAAATGTCCGTAATTTGTAGATTGAAACTTGGAAGATAAATCAAAGCGGACCTTAATAGACTGGGTAAAATATTCCCTTTGCGCGTTTATAGAGTCGTATCCCTATGCCGTGTAGATAATCGCGCACGCTGTTTGCCATCTGTATCTTCCAGAGCAAAGGAAAAATGTCGCCATTTTGGTCGCACGCTGAAATATTATTAATCTTTGGGCTTTATCTTGTTCCCAGAGCCACCCCTGCCCGACGCCGAACCACTGCCACGCAGCCGCGAATCTATAGAGCTTTTCTGCATAAGTAGATAAAGAGTGCTCGGGCACAGAAAGGGATGGCGGATATATCCGCACCGTGCTGCGCGTTACGGGCGGAGATGTAGAACCGTGGAAGGTGATTTCTTCCGAGATTTTTCATCGAAACCCGATTGTCGCCCAGTGCAGACCAACGACCCGTTATTGTTTTGTAGGCAAGAAAGACATTTTGGCACCGTCGCAAGGCATCTCTCGTTTCCAGTTAGCGAATATAGAGAATCCAAACGCCCCCCACCCCTCAGATAAGTGCCATAGATCAAACAAAAGGTAACGGTACGGGCGGTGAACTCGGGTTGTGAGGCTTAGCGCCAGGATTGCATTTCTGAAAATGTCCATAGAGAAGGAATTCGGCTTTTCTCCCCCCTCCCACTCCGAAGAAAGAAAAAGACAGGCGGCTTTGCCCCCTTCTTTCCTCTCCCCATCCTCAGAGCCTGCACGTTGGCAATACGAATTTGTGTTTTTGCATTCGAGATTCGCCCGATTAAAAGATCCCTCTGGAGGCAGAAGTAATTGATTTGCCCAAGAATTTCGCGTCCCCTCTCCAAAGGTTTTGTTCCAGGTGGTTTTTGTATTAGAACTACCACAAGGAACAAATGTGCAGAATAGAGACACCCACGCAGGTTTTACTCACAAAGCCCGGTTAAAGTCCAAACCTCCCTCTTTATTATTTGCCATCCTGCTGTTAAATCCCGATATTTTCGAGGGGAAAAAAAAAAAAAAAAAAAAAAAAGAAAAAAAAAAAAAAAAAAAGAAAGAAGAAAAAAAGCAAAGCGCAACCCCGAGGAAGGCGCAGAGAAGCAAAATAAAGCCGGGCTTTTCCCACAGCAGAGCAGCCCTCCAACAGCATATTTTAAAAGCAGCTTTTTTCCTTGTTTACCCGCGTTTCTCGCTCTGCCTCTTTGCTCGGACACATTTGATCTTGGAAAGAGCAAGAAGCTCTAAATGTGTTCTTAAGGGCCAGAAGCTGTCAAACCTTTTGGCGGCCAAGATTGATCGCGCGCAGACACCACCAGAGCTTTGTTTGGACTAAAAGCAAGAAAATTAAACCCTTTGCATTTTCCAACAGCATCGATATTTGTAAGGCATCCCTTTCGAGGGATTAAATGACAAGTCTCGTTCTATATTTTATTTAAACAAGCAACCACCAAAAAGCCCATTTAAAGCCTCCCAGCCCCTCCCCTCCCCCTCTCTCCAATGCCTTCGCAGATATGCTACATCTTGAGGGTGCATTAACTTAAAACCGATTTTTAAAATGCACTTCGTGCAGTCTGGACGTAGACTGGTCCGCTGAGTGCTTGGGGCTTTTTTTTTTTTTTTTTTTTGGTTGTTGCTGTGGGTTTTTTTTTTTCTTTTTTTTCCCTTTCTTTCTTTTTTTCCCCCTCTTCTTTCTTCTTCTGTTTCTTCTTTATTTTTACAACACGAAGAAGAGGGTTTGCCGACCCCCATTTTGGCAACTCCGAAAATCCAGAGCGATGGCCCCGCCCGGCGCTGCGATGCTCCCCGGCAGCTGGAGGACTCACGGACGTCGCCCGCAGCTCCTGCCCGGCCCCCTGCCCGGCTTTGCGCGCAGGACTCATCGGGCCGGGGACGCCCCTGGCGTTGTCACCCGCTCTCCCGGTTGTGCCCAAAGCGTCCGAATTCGGGACCCGACCGAGCGGAGGCACATGGAAACGACGGAGAGAGCCAAGCTTCGGAGACGAGAGCAGTGCCCCAGGTTATCACCCCGCAGCTCTGCTCGGCCCCGTGAAAACAAACCCGCTACCAGCCCATATATCTCCTGGTAATCGAAAATACTCACCAGACCCAGCCTACTACGGTTATTAAGCAATTTATGCCAGCAGACGGGAGTATCGTTTGCAAGCTAAGGCACAGGATTTTGGCTTTTTTTTTTTTTTTTTTTTTTTTTTTTTTTTTTTTTT